CCTTGGCATTTAGTAAGAATGATGACCCTTGGCATTTATCAAGAATGATGGATGATGACCCTTGGCATTTAGTAAGGATGATGACCCTTGGCATTTAGTAAGGATGATGACCCTTGGCATTTATCAAGAATGATGACCCTTGGCATTTAGTAAGGATGATGACCCTTGGCATTTATCAAGAATGATGACCCTTGGCATTTAGTAAGGATGATGACCCTTGGCATTTATCAAGAATGATGACTCTTGGCATTTATTAAGGATGATGACCCTTGGCATTTATCAAGAATGATGACCCTTGGCATTTAGTAAGGATGATGACCCTTGGCATTTATCAAGAATGATGACCTTGGCATTTATAAGGATGATGACCCTTGGCATTTATCAAGAATGATGACCTTGGCATTTTAAGGATGATGACCCTTGCATTTATCAAGAATGATGACCCTTGGCATTTATTAGGATGATGACCCTTGGCATTTATCAAGAATGATGACCTTGGCATTTATAAGGATGATGACCATTGGCATTTATCAAGAATGATGACTTGGGATGATGACCCTTGGCATTTATCAAGAATGATGACCCTTGGCATTTAGTAAGGATGATGACCCTTGGCATTTATCAAGAATGATGACCCTTGGCATTTTAAGGATGATGACCCTTGGCATTTAGTAATGATGATGACCCTTGGCATTTTTATAAGGATGATGACCCATTTAGTAATGATGATGACCTTGGCATTTATCAAGAATGATGACCCTTGGCATTTAGTAAGGATGATGACCCTTGGCATTTATCAAGAATGATGCATTTTATTTAGTAAGGATGATGACCCTTGGCATTTATCAAGAATGATGACCCTTGGCATTTAGTAAGGATGATGACCCTTGGCATTTATCAAGAATGATGACCCTTGGCATTTATTAAGGATGATGACCCTTGGCATTTATCAAGAATGATGACTCTTGGCATTTATTAAGGATGATGACCCTTGGCATTTATCAAGAATGATGACCCTTGGCATTTAGTAAGGATGATGACCCTTGGCATTTAGTAAGGATGATGACCCTTGGCATTTATCAAGAATGATGACCCTTGGCATTTAGTAAGGATGATGACCCTTGGCATTTATCAAGAATGATGACTCTTGGCATTTAGTAAGGATGATGACCCTTGGCATTTATCAAGAATGATGACCCTTGGCATTTTTAAGGATGATGACCCTTGGCATTTATCAAGAATGATGACTCTAAGGATGTGACCTTACATTTATCAAGAATGATGATTTATGATGACCCTTTTGGCATTTATCAAGGATGATGACCCTTGGCATTTAGTAAGGATGATTTGGCATTTTTATCAAATGATGACCTTGGCATTTTCAAGAATAAGGATGATGACCCTTGGCATTTATCAAGAATGATGACCTTGGCATTTATCAAGGATGATGACCCTTGGCATTTAGTAAGGATGATGACCCTGGCATTTATCAAGAATGATGACTCTTGGCATTTAGTGATGACCCTTGGCATTTTCAAGAATGATGACTCTTGGCATTTAGTAAGGATGATGACCCTTGGCATTTATCAAGAATGATGACCCTTGGCATTTAGTAGGATGATGATGCATTTATCAAGAATGATGACCTTGGCATTTAGTAAGGATGATGACCCTTGGCATTTATCAAGAATGATGACCCTTGGCATTTAGTAAGGATGATGACCCTTGGCATTTATCAAGAATGATGACCCTTGGCATTTTAAGGATGATGAAGCATTTATCAAGAATGATGACCCTTGGCATTTATTAAGGATGATGACCCATTTTGGCATTTTCAAGAATGATGACCCTTGGCATTTATCAAGGATGATGACCCTTGGCATTTAGTTTATCAAGAATGATTTATTAAGGATGATGACCTTGGCATTTTTGATGACTCTTGGCATTTAGTAAGGATGATGACCCTTGGCATTTATCAAGAATGACTTGGCATTTAGTAAGGATGATGACCCTTGGCATTTATCAAGAATGATGACCCTTGGCATTTTAAGGATGATGACCCTTGGCATTTATCAAGAATGATGACCTTGGCATTTATAAGGATGATGACCCTTGGCATTTTCAAGAATGATGACTCTTGGCATTTATTAAGGATGATGACCTTGGCATTTATTTAAGATGATGACCCTTGGCATTTAGTAAGGATGATGACCCTTGGCATTGACCATTGGCATTTAGTAAGGATGATGACCCTTGGCATTTATCAAGAATGATGACTCTTGGCATTTAGTAAGGATGATGACCCTTGGCATTTATTAAGAATGATGACCCTTGGCATTTATCAAGAATGATGACCCTTGGCATTTAGTAAGGATGATGACCCTTGGCATTTATCAAGAATGATGACCCTTGGCATTTAGTAAGAATGATGACCTTGGCATTTATCAAGAATGATGACCCTTGGCATTTATTAAGAATGATGACCCTTGGCATTTATCAAGAATGATTTTGGCATTTAAGGATGATGACCCTTGGCATTTTAAGGATGATGGCATTTATCAAGAATGATGACCCTTGGCATTTAGTAAGGATGATGACCCTTGGCATTTATCAAGAATGATGACCCTTGGCATTTATTAAGGATGATGACCCTTGGCATTTATCAATGATGATGGCATTTAGTAAGGATGATGACCCTTGGCATTTATGAAGAATGATGACTCTTGGCATTTAGTAAGGATGATGACCCTTGGCATTTATCAAGAATGATGACCCTTGGCATTTAGTAAGGATGATGACCCTTGGATGACCCTTGGCATTTATCAAGAATGATGACCCTTGGCATTTAGTAAGGACTTCTTGCATTTAGTAAGGATGATGACCCTTGGCATTTTCAAGAATGATGACCCTTGGCATTTAAGGATGATGACCCTTGGCATTTATCAAGAATGATGACCCTTGGCATTTAGTAAGGATGATGACCCTTGCATTTATCAAGAATGATGACCCTTGGCATTTAGTAAGGATGATGACCTTGGCATTTATCAAGAATGATGACCCTTGGCATTTAGTAGGATGATGACCCTTGGCATTTATCAAGAATGATTTGGCATTTATTAAGGATGATGACCCTTGGCATTTATCAAGAATGATGACCCTTGGCATTTAGTAAGGATGATGACCCTTGGCATTTATCAAGAATGATGACCCTTGGCATTTAGTAAGGATGAATGACCCTTGGCATTTATTTATCAAGATGATGACCCTTGGCATTTAGTAAGGATGATGACCCTTGGCATTTAGTAAGGATGATGACCCTTGGCATTTATAAGAATGATTGGCATTTAGTAAGGATGATGACCCTTGGCATTTATCAAGAATGATGACTCTTGGCATTTATAAGGATGATGACCCCATTTATCAAGAATGATGACCCTTGGCATTTAGTAAGGATGATGACCCTTGGCATTTATCAAGAATGATGACTCTTGGCATTTAGTAAGGATGATGACCCTTGCCATTTATCATTTATCAAGAATGATGACCCTTGGCATTTAGTAAGGATGATGACCCTTGGCATTAAGGATGATGACCCTTGGCATTTATTAAGGATGATGACCCTTGGCATTTATTAAGGATGATGACCCTTGGACATTTATCAAGAATGATGACTTTGGCATTTATAAGAATGATGATTTTGCATTTATTAAGGATGATGACCCTGGCATTTATCAAGAATGATGACCCTTGGCATTTATTAAGGATGATGACCCTTGGGATGATGACCCTTGGCATTTATCAAGAATGATGACCCTTGGCATTTAGTAAGGATGATGACCCTTGGCATTTAGTAAGGATGATGACCCTTGGCATGTCTAGGCAAAGAACATTCACAAAGTGGAAGGAAAAATCCTCAAAAATAGTACCCCATAAAAATAAATACAGAAAATTTTTATTTAACAGTAAAGCTTAAAATAAAAAAACCTAGGTTGTGATGCGATCCAGTGAGAATTATACAAGAGTATTAGAAAATATTTGTAAACAAATAGTATAGTTCGTAGTTTGTATCCGAATTAGCCTGCCTAATCCCTCCTGCAGACACCTACTCAGGCACATTTACATTTATTTTTCATAGGGTATCTTTTAACAGAAATACCCTATAACCCTAATGAGATCATTAAACAGAAACATTTAAAGAGAAAAAAAGAGTGCTAACTAATCACAAATCATCTATATGAGAGCGAGTGTTTGAACTTCCTTACAAATAAAGAGATAAGACTTGAGACAATATAGATGTTGTTATACAGAAGGATACTTAGAATAACATGGAAGGAGTATACAGTTAGTAACGAAGTTTTAAGTGAGATGCGAACAGAAAGAGACAGTTTCTATTTCTAAGAACATCATTAGAAAATAGGGCTTGACGAATTTAACACTCAGAAGGCATACTGAAATCAGAAGTGGGGGGGCAGATGGAAACAACGAGTAATCCACCTAATGCGCTTGTGTAAATAAGACTGCTGAACAGGGAGTAGGATGGGCAATATATAGACAATATTACTTAGACTTACGAAGAATAGGACGTTGGGAAGAACCATGATCGACTATTCTTGAGTTTTGAAATTGCGTTTACAGATAACAAACAGTTATTGAATACAAATGCATTTTAAATAGTCTTTCATGCATACAAAATGTTGCGTAAACAACTATTTTTCCTTTGAAATTATGTTGACATATCAGAGACCTCCTGCTATTAAGAAATATATGTGCCACTATGTTCTAGGTTAACAGTAAATCGAATTAAATTGTCATGATTATAACTCACTTACGTTGAATCGAATATTTATATAATATCTATCTATATTTAATATATATAATGGAAACGCGACAAAGGAGGAATGAAGAAAGTCCCGACATATTTGTTCTTCGTTTTCCATTTACCTTTGAATATATTTTGCAGGAAATAGAGTGAAAGTGTTCCACATCTATACTGTAAGAAATTAGTGAAAATAGATAGGTGGCAAGATAGACAGAGAGAGAGAGAGAGAGAGAGAGAGACAGACAGACAGACAGACAGAGAAAAAACAGACTAACGTAGGAGATAGATAGATAGATATATAGATAAGACAGAGAGAGAAACAGGAACAGACTGAGATAGATAGACACACAGATAGATAGATAGATAGATAGATAGATAGATAGATAGATAGATAGATAATGAGAAACAAAAAGCATTCTGAGAGAGAGAAAGTGAGAAATATCCTGAGATTCATAGATAGATAGATAAAGCAGAGAGAGCAACAGGAAACGATATATATATATATATATATATATATATATATATATATATATATATATAGAGAGAGAGAGAAAGAGAGAGAGAGAGAGAGAGAGAGAGAGACAAAGAGAGAAACATTCTGAGACAGAAAGAGGAAATACTGAAATAGATAGATAGACAGATAGATAAAGAGAGAGACAACAAGAGAGAAAACATTCGAGAGAGAGAGAGAGAGAGAGAGAGAGAGAGAGAGAGATGAATATACTGATTTAGATAGATAGATAGATTGAGAGAAAACATTGAGAGAGAGAGAAAGAAAAGGATATATTGAGATAGACAGAGAGAAAGAGAGACAAAAGATATAAAACATTCTGAGAGAGAAATGGGAGGGACATATTGATATAGATAGATATATAGATAGACGGATCGATAGATATGAAGAGACTTAGATTTGTTGCCATATTGCCGGAGCATAGACGAGGAACTGAATAAATTGACTAGTATACTCATTTACGCCTTATCGTAAATAGTTCCACTTCCAGATTCAGACAGAGGTGCTAGATAAATACTTCTTGAAATATGATTTTGTTTTCGCACGAGAGGCATTTTTTATTTATAATGGTGAGAATATTCCAGAGAAGAAAAGGATATGGCCTAGGAGATTTAACGCAGATCGACACCAGTCGAGAGCCTGGAAGATTAGATTTGCTGTCACTCGATTCCTACCACTGATAAAACGATGCCAATGGCGCGAGTAATATAAGACAAATGCGATTAAGAAAGGAGTTTAATATTATATCTAAATCAAAAATATTTTGTATCGAAACTAAATAAATCAAGGAAACAAACAATTAACATTCTTTATTTATTACGGAATATATTAGAAAAGTAATTACGTTTTAATTACTTTCCGAGCACGTTAATAAGAGAGAAAACGAAAGTGAAAGTGGCATCCAAAATATAATGGAGATATTAATGCAGATAACACACATTCTAATAGATTAATGAACATCTCAAACCGAATTGCCACCGGAACTTATTTATCGGTGTAGCATTAGGTTTAATACTTTTCAGTTTGAAATCATGCAGACCCTCCTTGCTTCACACTGTATAGACTTTAAAAGCTTAATCAGGGTGAGCATACTGTTTGAAATAAGAAAAAATAAATACACCACTAAGCATCATTTAGATTGAAAAAACGCAAAGAAAGTAATATCGAATATGCACTGCATTATAAACTACGCCAATAGGTGAACCGTTCCTTTGAAAAACAAGTAATTATATGTTGAGTTTGAAAAATCCACTGGGGAGACGAGTATTGATAATATTTTTGTTCACTAAAGTTCACCTTATCCAAGGTGTTTTATAAAACATTTTTAAAGCAATCCCCCCCCAATCAAAGCGGGAGTGCCACTAGCACGCGAGGAGTTACAGAGGATTGAAAACAAGAGTAAAGAGGCATGTTTGGGGAAAGGATACAGAGAAGGACGGGGAACAAGGTTAGGGTGTCAGATGTCAATTGACATTACACTTAAATATATAAAATTATAGTCATCGGGGAAGTAAGTAAGGGGAATGGATTTCCACAGACGAGAAGAGCGGGAGAAGAGGCTGTTTGAGTAGAAGGGACGGTTATATTTAACCGTTTTGACAGTGAAAGGATGGGACCAAGATGCCAGCCTGGGAGCTCGCTTAAATTCATGCAGTCCGGGAACCAGCGAAAATATCTCGTCGGAACAGTTGCCGTGAAAATATTTGTAGAAGAGACAGAGGGAGGCCACGGCACGTCCTTGGAATAGCGATTGTAGACTAGATGCCAGATCAGGACCTATCATCTTGCATATTCGTTTCTAGATTTGGTCAAGGACCTCGAAATGTACAGCGGAAGCAGCAGTCCATATATGACAGCAATATCTGATGGATGATTTATAGATTTGAAGGATTAACATTCTGCCACGACTCAGAGAAACAAATTTCTTTATGGCAGATGAAGCTATTGATTCAATGTATTTATTCCACTTCAGGTACGTGGACAGCGTGAGACCAAGCAGGTGTAACGAGGTGCTCTCGAGGATTCGGGAATCAGGTATTATGATGGGAGACAAGGAGGGTTTTCTGTGCAGGGTAAAGGAGGTATTAAAGTTTACAAGCCATTTCCTGCCCCAGTCAACCACAGACTGGAGGTCCTTTTCAAGATCAGCAGCCAGGCTAGTTTTGTCAACGATACCAGATTTACTATTGATGCAGAAGTACGAACAGCTCGAATGAGATGGTTACTTCCTGAATGTAAGAGTAGGTAAAAGCAGTTAACAATTAGGAAGGTAAAATAACAAATAACGATTGACTCTTGACTTGAAGAGTTCAAAAGTTTATAGTCTCCAGGAAAGCATTATTCTTTAGTCAGTTCTTGGAAAGAAGCTTTCGGAGTGAAATTATCTGCTTACAATTTTAATACTGGGCAACTCCGTGGACGCAACCGAACGAGTGAAGAGTACAAAGATCTAAACTGTGGAAAATACTGGAGCTTATCTGAACATATAGTAAAACTAGGTAACAGTGACGAATAGATCAAATAGATTTTTCCTTAATGTGAGAGCGATCGGGTTTTCAGTTCTCATCTGGTTCTGCCTAAATTCTTCTGCGTTATGGAAATAACAATAGAGTATGGACATCGTATCACTGAGAAGGGCCCGTAGATTGATGACTAAGTCAACCCTAAAGACTTATTCTAGCGGACATGGGAGAACAGAGAAGTTGTAGCGCAGACGTGATAGCAATACACCTCAGTGTCGGTTTAACGTCACACTTTTTAAGGTAAAACGTGCCCAACGCGCACAAATCAGTGGAAACTGTTTTGTAACATCAATTTAAAGCATTAACGAATTTGTTAACAGTGACTTATGTTGGCCATTCTACGAACGACGTAGATATGAATGAGTGAAGAAGAAGAATAAGAAGAAGAAGAAGAAGAAGAAGAAGAAGAAGAAGAAGAAGAAAAAGGGAATGAGGAGAAGGAAGAAGACAAGCGGCAGATGCAAGGTGAAAAAGAAGGAAGAGAGCAAGGAGAATGAAGAAGACGAAGAAGACATGGTACTGGAAAAGAAAGAAAACGAAAAGAAAGAAAAGAAAACTAAAACAGTAAGAAAGAAGGAAAAGGAGGGGCAAGAGGTATGTGAAACAAGAGAAAAAGAATAAAGAAGACGAAGTGAGTAAGAGAGAGAAGTAGAAAAAGAAAAGTAAGAAAAGGAAGGAGAGAGAAAAAGAAAATTAAATACAATCTCAAACAAAAATTAATTCTCTTCGCGTTTTTACGAGTTATCATTAAATTTTCAGAGGAAAGTTGACTCGGAAAGATAATATTTAGGCCACAGACAGAGCGACGGTGATTTCTGCAATAATCGATGAGAAATTAATCAATAAGGAATCCGTATGTAACTCAATTCGTAAACTAATTTTACCTTCGCGAAAATTAAACGAAAAATAAAAATCTTTACGGCTCGGGTTTCCCGAGTCTCTCGGTATTTACAAAAAACACCCTCGTACTTCTCTTTTGTAGAACTGTCTCCCGACTTTCTATTTTTCTGTCGACTACAATCTTCAAAAAATTTAAATGCAGCCTCAGGCTTAATCTTCCGTTTCCTTGAATCATGTTCTTGTATTATTTTCTTTCTTAAAAACAAAACAAAAAATCAATAAAAAAACAAAAAACATTTCCTTAATTTTATTTCAGTTTCGTTACATCTGACGTTTTAATAGCTTCATCTTCATCTGGAGGATACCAAAAAGGATCTTATAGATCAGATGTTATCTGGGACAAAAGAAATGGCTTGTAAATTTTAACGCCTAGTCTGAACCATTTCCCCTTCCGTCAGCTTGCTTGATGCCAACCTCTAGGAGAGAAACTCATTACGTCTTCCTAGTCACATGTTTTTACACGGACATTGAATGATTATATTTGATTAATTGATAGTGTTGCTGCTAGGAAAACATGGTTCCCTAAGTCCTGTCAAAAATGTTTCCTTGTCGGAATTCGTCATGCATATTTATAAATCTACCATTCAACCGTACATTGAATATTGCTGCCATATCAGGATTGCTTCTTCCATCGATTCAAAGGAGGATCGGTCCTGACTCAGCTTTAGTCACTTTACTATCACCCTAGCATGGTACCTTCTCCCTTCTCTAAATATTTTCATGCAATTATTCTGATAAGTTTTTGGTACAGTATTTATACTATTAGGACTATTGTCCTCATCTTTGTTGTCACATTTATCACAACATTTCGGCCGTTGTACGCTCCGGCCTTCAGGTTGTTGCAATATCGAACTGAACCCTTTATTTCGCTAGCTGGGGTAGACTGTTCTGGTTCCACGAACCATGTCTAATGGATGTCAGTGATCAGTTATCTCCTGTCAATTCATTTCTCCAAGTTCACCACTGCCTTAACCAGGTATTGAACTCACAACTCTTTGGGTCCTGTCATTGACACTGGATCTAACCAACACCTTTATCAACTGTATATGAATTTCTGGAACTTATAAACTTAATGCTTTGATAAATGTAGCAATAAAGATGATGACAATATTCTGAATAGTGTAAATACATAATAACTCATCTCAGAAATATAGACAGAAGCTTTTGTTAGTATTTACATTAGTCGGACTATTGTCCTCATCTTTGTCGCCATATTTGTCACAACGTTTCGGCCGTTGTACGCTCCGGCCTTCTTCAGGTGGTTGGAATTTCGAACTGAACCCTTTATTTCGATCACTGGACACATGGCACAGTGGATAAAGGCGTTGGTTAGATCCAGTGACAGACCCAAAGAAGGTGAGTTCAATTCCTGGTTAAGGCAGTGGAGAACTTTCAGAGGAAAAATTAGCAGGAGATAACTGATAACTGACATCCATCAAACATGGCACGTGGAATTAGAACAGTCTACCCCAGTGATCGAAATAAAGGGTTCAGTTCGAAATTCCAACCACCTGAAGAAGGCCGGAGCGTACAACGGCCGAAACGTTGTGACAAATATGGCGACAAAGATGAGGACAATAGTCCGACTAATGTAAATACTGTACATAATACCTCATCTCAGAAATATAGACAAGCTTTTGTTACTATAAAAGGTTTAGTCTTAGTTGCCAGTCTAGTAATAGACTGACAACTCGGCTCTCCGATTAACGTTTCCGAGCCATTATCCATCGCACAAGCCGTACATTCAAGCTTACGGAACCTCGTATTCCCATGCAGCCACCCATATAGATATTGACCAAGATTGTACAGGAAATAGTGTTTTAAAGAGATATGGCCGTAAGCCCAGAAATACGAGGACGGTTGAATAAATTACATGATGTGCTTGAGTGAACGCTTACCGAAGGAAAATCTCAGAGATAAACAATTATGGTTAATGATCAAGAAAAGACAGAAAAGGAGTATTACTGTAAAAACTATGATCATAGCCATATTTAAATCAGAAGGGAGATGGAGAACAGTATTTTCTCTTTTGTATTTTATTTCCAGTATCTAGCCAGAATGAGAAAACATAGAACGGTAAATCAAGCCAAAGTAGAAATTCTATGACTAGAAATCCAAATTTGAGTTTAGGACTTAAATAATCGCAATGGTAATAGTTAGTGTCTCCTTATATGGAAACAGCTTTATTTGAGTGAGCAATCTGTTCTACAATCGGTTGAAATTTATGAAAAGTTTCTTTAAAAATCTTTTTCAAGAAAATGGGTTTCTCAAGTCAAATGTTATTTATCTTTCTGGTGTTGCTGGGAATTTTCTTCCTAACCGTTTGTTTAATATCATTTGGAACGTCAACATGTACATGTTACATGTGTTATCCATATGAGTTTTTGCAGTTGTTGAAAATCCTCAAGTGACTGTAAATTGGTTCATTTTTTTTTTGGTTTGTAATTCTGTCGTGCATTTAAAAATCTTTGTCGCATCCAAAAATATATTTTCCAAAGCAATTAAACACTTACTATTTATTTAAGAATAGAGTGTAATATAACATTATTAAAAGTATAGCAGACACATTTCACTCACGAGAAAACCATCATCCATCCCTCAAAAATTTGCTTCTTAGAAACACCCTATCCGTTGTTGTCATAACATATTCCTCTTGAAGCTGCTCTAAAAATCTTGTTCTAGACTGGTTGTCTTATCAATTCTAAAGATCTCAGTCTGCCTTATTATTTTCGAATCCAGTTTCCCTTCGAAGATGACCAGCAATGAAGACAAGAACAGCCAGGCTGCCTTCTGTTTAACAATGTCTAGAGGAAGATAGTTTCATGTCCATTTCCAAGAGCATGAAAGAGCCTCGGTTCAAATTTGAACCCGGTAAGCTGATTCCATTATATGCGAGAATTCCTAGCTTACACACCAACATAGAATTTGCCTTTGTAACAATATTCAAATTTAGTATTGACAGATGACATGACTGACTGAACATTGACCATACCGTAACCATTCAAGACGAAGTCATTGATGATTTTTCACACATCCTGTTCCTTTATTTTCTTAGAATTGTCATAACCATTTGGGAAGGATAACAGACATTTTCAACTGGCACATACCGCTGTTTTCGGTGTAATCTCTGATTATTTCATCGATCTATTTCAAATCATTTTTAAATGCCGTTTCTCTTCCAAATCAAGCAATGCTTGCTCTCCACAGATTAATTTCTTTATTAACTGTGAATTGCCATTTTTCGAATTGTTTTCCATAGTTTCCAGGGTTTTGAATTCAGAATATTACCTTTCCTCACCTGGTTTCCACCAAGATAGAGAGATCAATCTACCCTGCTATTTAAACCATAGGTGGGTACTATTAGATTCATAACTTTCTCGCAACATATAAAGTTAATGCAACAGATACCGCCGGATCTTGAACTCGACTCGGCTATCAGTACTCGTAACCATTACACCATCCGTACAATCTACAAAGTATCATTAAGTTAATATAACGTTTACTAAACAGGCTTCTTGCTAACTTGTAAACTACGATCTCCAAAATTTAAATGTAAGGGGAGTTTTAGTTTTCATTGAATCCTGTTCTTTTATATTTTCTTTCTCCTTAATCACGTTTTCTCGCTTACTCTCAATAACCCTTTGCGTCTTAGTGTATTGTTTCGCCTTTCTTGTTTAAAATCAATAATTGTAAGAAAGTATGAATGACTCACATCAAAAAGAAAGTTACAAGGAGAAACGTTTTAGAAAATTTAACTTTATCGCATAGTAAGTGTATCATTAACTATAGAAATTGTTTATCCATGAAAAGCTAATTTTTCGAAATTGTATATAGTTTAACGCTCGACGTTGAAGTAAATAAGTAAGGATTTGTGTCTGTGTTTCTTTTATATCAGTAAGTCACGGACATAATTGTAAACAATTGAAAGTAAATTGTGTTTCTTTTTACTTTTATTATTTCCCTTAAGTATTATTTATGCCTACCGTAGGATGTGGGCGTATTGTAGTGATTGGCGGCGTAGAAATTGAGATTGACCTGCAGAATTCAAATTCCAGTCGAGGTGTTTGCGTTCGCTTTCGCACAAGTGATGAAAATGAAAACTCTGAATATAAAACCATTCTAAAGAGGGCGCTGGGTTCTGTCAGGCGAACTTGGCCTAGATCCACACACACTGTTGCGGCGACAAGTGTTGCACTAATTACCATAATGGTTTAAGAGACATGTGTCTTGAATTGCCTGTATCGTTTTAGGAAATATCTCTATATCGATTCTGTGAACGGTGAACGTTTTATTTTTCCAGAGTGCTGTAGAATTTGCATAAAAGTTGTGAAAACGCTGCAAAAAACAAAATGTCGCAAATGTTCAAGTTTTTATTACCTTGCAACTGTTAGTGATATTTAAATCTAAATACAGAACAATTAGTAGGACTTGATTTAAATATGAAATAAAAGTTCTTAGACAAACATATGCAATAAAACACAAAGAAAAAAAACGAGTTTCGTTAGCGCGTCATTCGTTCGAAATCTTTCAGGCATATTATCATTGGAATTACCATTTATAGGTCTTAATGATCTTGTTCTAATAAGAGAGTGGGAATTGGTGCCAACAATAATTATTACCAATAAAGTTTGATTTTTTTTTCATTCTTCTTACAGAAATTATAGCGGTCATTTCGGACGGGAATATTTGACCTTTTGTGTGAAAATTTGTAACAAATCTGTTTAATTAAATACTCTTTAGTGATTTTTAAATATAGGCATAGGAATCGTAATTGATTCAGAGAAGAAATTCTTTCGATTATCTCAAACTACATATAAGGATAAATTGGTCTGTGCGCAGAAGTTAAAACTTACAGGAACGAATTCTGGATAAATTCAATGGTGGGTGATTGATTCCTGCAAAGAGTATTTCCTTTTAATATATTTTTTTAAATCCATACAATGTTTAAGAAACTAATCTACTGAATTGAAAATTTAATTATAAATTGATTATTTTGGAAAATATTTTCTTTTGAATAAACATATTTGATAGTCAGAGTGTGTAACATCTCATTTTACCGATTTGAAACAATTACAACAAATAGAAAGACCTGTAAAAATATCACGGTTTTCCTATTTGAATTTTCTCATGAATCTTAATTCTTCAGTTAATGATTGAATAATCGCATGGCGAGTTCTATGACATTGAATTTTCCGTAGAAATTCACCCTTAACATCATTAGATATTTGAGCTTAACAACTTCAACAAAATATTGCAATAACAATCATAAATATGAATGCTGGGCGTTATTTTAAGAAGTGGGTACAAATGAAATTATCACCTTTTCCAGTTCACAGAAACAGCCATTAAACCCTTATTTCGTTTGTTTCTGTCATTTATTTACTCATTGAAACCAAATAGAATCTTTTCCCTTCTTTCCACACGATCAAAACGGAATAGTCCGTTATTTATAAGGTATTTCTGGAGACTTTAATTAATTCTTTAATTAATTCTTTCTTTCTTTCAAAATCCCAGTCTTATGAATATTTCTCTTATATAATCATTTAAAAATAATGTAGTAAACGATGTTATTTATGGTAACTGGATTTTGGGCGATTGTTTTACACAGTTCTCTTCGTTCGTTACTGTGCATCTGAAAAATGCCGCTTTTATTCCTGTCGCCATAGTTCTCGAAGTTTTGACTCGGATCAGAGTGTAGTATCTGCCATCGGGCGGATAGACGTCATCTCTCAGTTGTGTCTTTTCCTTCGGACAGAGGGCAACTCAGTGTTTTCTTCGTCTGCAGACAGAACACAATTGAAAATATTATTGAGAGATGCCCGATCTCGGGAAGCAGGTGTTCTGCGCAGTACCTCCTCTCACTATGTTAAAGAGGAGGAAATTCGGTAGTCATACCAATATCAGCACTACTAACAGTTGCGGGGACTGAGATATTTTTGAACCTAGCCAGTGTGTACGTCTTCGCACCACATTAAACTGACTTTGTGTTACATCCTGCCAGCGTGAGACGGCACGAAAATACAGTCTTTTCTCGGCATTTTAGCATAGGTCAAAGTGTAGTATCTGTTTTTATCAGCTTAATCTGATTCTCTCCCCACGTCTATCTTTACTTCTTTTGTTCTTTCTTTCATTTTCTTACTGAAACCAAATAGTTTATTTTCCCTTCTTTATGCGATCAAAACGGAATAGACCATTATTTATGAGGCATTTGCAGGGTGTAACGGTCGTGCAAAGTAACGAAGGTATGGACAAGCACAATATCGTTATAGTTTAAAGGCCAGTTCATAGGGGAGGGCAGATTCTCTTGTAGTGAGTACATATCGGTATTATTCCTGCGAGGTTGAAAAATATCAACAACTGCCAACATCGAGAAATAATCTTACCAATGCGAAAAGATACAACAGAAGCGCTACCCTAGCATAAATTGCAGATAGGGCTACTGAAATTCAAGTAAGGAATACGTCACAATACACAGTACATCGATTCTTGTTGAGCCTGTACAAGTATTCTGTATCTAGAGCCCAAAGCGTCTTGATTATACAGTAGAAATCTGAGACTGATTCCTATATCGATAAAACAAAGATATCTGATTAGTTGAGTCACAATTTTTATTGATTAATATTGATCTTGGAGTACACCTCTTTCTTTATTTCGAATAGTCGACGGCATCAAGATCTGTCTTATATAAAGGCAAGCCGATGAAGGCAGTTTGAGCGTTGTGCAAATTATGTCTTACAGATAACCGGAACATACCAATAATTCTAAAATTAGATTGAAAGAGAAAGGTGGTACGAGAGAAAGCATTGGATATACTAAGCACAATTTATGCCTAATGGGAACTAATATAGGCACTATAGAGGTGATGGTTAATAAGCCATTCTGCTAACGCAGAACGTTGTTGTAATTATTAGATCATTGCAGCATTTCATACTTCATTAGAAAATTAAAACAAAACTTTACATACCCACAAAAACATTTATTAT